TTCCCGATAAGGACAGATTCAACAAGGCTCAAGAATACCTCAAGGCCTTAGAAATGGATAGACTGAAGTTAGTAAATCGGGACCCTCTTGCAGCAAAAATTGATTATCTACTCGAGGATGACACTCTTGACCTTGCCAACATGAGAGACCTCGATGATACAATCTTTATCTTCTTGTGTGATTTTTTGTATTACCCCAAACTTGAGATCAAGCTATTATCTAGCTTTTTACTTTTTGTAGAATTTGAATTGTCTTTCGATTCGTCTAAACTCCTTGTAAATGTCTACCACAAGACCAAAGTCCCGAAGCCTAAGGCACCTACCAGTCGAAGGGAAAATAGATAGCTAGAGAGGTCCCTCCTAAGAAAGTTGTGAGTGTGGCTGGGCAGACCTCAAGGACCGAAAGCCTAATCCCTCCACGACAACCCGCTTCCAAGTTACATGTTCATGTTCCCACTTCTCGGGGTATGTCGAAGATTGTTGACTTGGATGATAATGTCATCCTCTGAACTCGATGGAAGAATATGCCCAACGCTCATTGATCCTAATCATTGTGAATAAATATGCTGATGAGGTCAAACATCATGAAAAATTCTTGTTCCTCTTCTTTGAACCCTCCACTTGCTGGGACTGAACGAACTATCTAAGGCATGATAAATCATTTTCGATTGGCTTTCTTTGTTTGGGTGAAGACCCTTGAGCTGCTGACTCTAAAGGTTTGATCTCGATCTCTATTAGTATTTATTTTTATCATCTTTCATGCTTGATTTAACGTTGATCTTGTTTTTTCCCTTCTAGAAGTTGAGCATAGCTCAGGGCTTAGCCCTAAAAGGGTCAAATGCCTTGCGCAAGCTAGATAGGCTCAATACGGAGATTGAGCAAAACAAGAAGTGAGTTCGTGAGCTTGAAGTGCAGTATGACTAGACCAAGATCGAGACCAACAAGGCCTGAGATCAAATAGAGGCTGCAAAAAATTAGGTTGAAAAGGCCAAGCTCGAACATATGCATGGAAGAAGGGCTCGAGAATCAACTGGTCAAGGCTCGAGCTCAGGTAGTAAAGGATTCCAAGAAGTCAGAGGAGTTTGGGATGCTACTGGGACAGTAAAGGTCAGGCTCCTACCATTATGGCCTGAGGCTTACTCACTTCTTTTGCAAACCAAGCTACCTGAGGACTTGAGGCCTATCGTCAAGGAGCTGATGTCGGTCAAGAAATACTCGGACAAGCTTGAGCTTTCAATATCTAAGGTCAAAGATGAAGATGACAAGAGGAAGGAGGTCGAGACTCCTGATTAAGGCGATCCTGCCAACGCCACAAACTTATTAGGCTCCCTACCCCATAATCTTATACAAAAACTGGAGGTGGTGTGAAGAGAGGAATGTTGGGAATATCGAACGATGGGAAGAGAGGAAAATTGGGTAGTGTAGGCATCGAAGGTAGATTGAAGATGTTAGGAATTTCCAAGTTTGGAATGTTATGAGATTGAGGGAGTATTGGTGCAAATGGAAGTTGTGGAATTATTGGAGGGAAAGGAAGATTTTCCAAAATCTTGTTACTCGAACCATAGATTCGAGAAAAAGAGCTCATAAGCGATTCAACATACAAGTCGATAAAATCTAAAGGTAAGATGTGAACGTAAAAGATTGAATCATATAGGGGACAGTGACTCCTTATTAGTTTATTAAAGTAAAGCTCCAAAAAATGACAGATTAACCTGCGGTGTAGATTTGACTCGACTAAGAAAAAATCCACTCAGATTGGTCATATATAAGGAGGGGTATTGAATAAAGGGCTCTGAGAATTGTACCATCATAGATGCTTAATGAGAAATTTGAAAAAATGCTATTATAATTCTACAAATGAACATTAATTTCTTATGTATTGAAGATCGGGAATATAAAGTGTTTCCTTATTAAATCTCGTCATGAAGTTGCAAAGTTTTCTTAGGTCTTTAATGCATCTACATGAGTGATGCGGCTGTCTTCCTAAAACACTAACTACCTGCAAAGAAAGTCTGAGAAAAAAGCTTCGGGGTTGGGTTCCAATGTGAAAAATTAATCTATAACTACATTAGTAAGGGTCTAAGGAAAATCCTTGCACATTACTGCATCAAGTGCAACCAAGAGGTTTATGATATATGTGTATATATATTGAGATGATTGATAGGATCAACTATCTTATCGTACTTCTTTACCTAATGATACTTAAATCTGTCCGGCAAAGGGTATGATATGACTTCCAGGATGAAAGGGGGTTAGGGATGAACCCTGTTATTGCCTGATTATTCTGAAGCATACTAGTCATGATCCCATCCTGAATGATCTGGCAAGTTCAGTAGAGTCCATCATAATCGATCTCAAACCCAAGGCCTTGTACGGTATGCTCGAGGCTCTGGTATAACCATTATCGGGACATGAAGCCAAAGCTCAAGTATCTGCCATAAGACCACCCTATGGCGGTGGCCATGGGTGCAGATTTTTTTGATTCGACAACTAACTTAGCGTCGCAACTTGTTAGCAGAGCTTCTCAAACAATCTAGGAGCTCCTGAAACACTAGTGGAGATGTTAGTTTTCCCGATGATTCTTCCTGCGAAACTAGAGGATCTTCGGCCGAAGCTGATTAGGGGTGGATGAGCTTGCTAGAAGATGTCCTGAATGTGTATTAACCATGACTTTGGGAAGTGTTTCCCATAGACTATGCCAATAATGATATCAAAATAGTATTTGTTGATTTTCGAGCTTGACAATCGAGAATGAGCACGAACAAGATCTTTTGGTATCTAAAACAAAGGTGTCAATGTGTGTCCTCATCGTCCCTTTGATGCTTAAGTTAGAGAGAGAATATATGCATAAGGCTATAAACTGAAAAATTAAGTAAAAGCATACCTCAATAATGAACTCTAGTCCTGTATGTATAGATGTTGGTAATTGAGTTCTAAAAGGATCTGACCACCTGTAATCCTTATCCTTATCACTCGAGGTGTTTGTACTATATTCAAAGTATCCTATCACCAATTGATTCAGTTTGAATCAAACTATGATGGGTAAGTAGTTTGGTTGAGGGTAAAGATTATGAAGAATTACAATTGAAGTAGGATTAATGTTTATACAAGGTGTGAGATAAGGACAAGAGAATCATTCTTATGAAATATGGCCCGAACTCCTAAGGCCCGATATAAACATTTAGCTCAACCTTAGACTTTGCATAGTTGGGGGATGAGGTCAGGCTATTGTGTTTGAGCTCAAGGTCGATCGGTATTTGTGCGCATCACAAGGTATTAGGATGAAAAAGAAAAAAGAAATGGCAAAAAAATAGATGTATTTATTAAGCCTCTATTAGGACTACATTTTTTTTTTTGTAACTTAATTTCTTCAGACTCATTTTTAACCATACGTTTTATTAAACCCATAATTTTTATCAACTTTTTAAAATTTCAACAACATATTTCATCAACTTTGTCGAAATCTACTAAAAATTTAATTCTCGGCGGGGCTGAGTGTCTTAGTTTTGTGTTAAATGAGATTAAGAGAGTGAGTAAAGTTTGAAATTTTACAGTTTAACTACTAAGGTGATCATTCATATCTCGTAGATGTGGACATGGACATAGGCATATATGCTGCACCGCGTAAAGTCATATTGTTTTTCCTTCCAAACTTTTCTATAGGGTGTTTTCACTAGGGCTCTTTGTCGCTTTTTACAGCGTAATTAAAAATTGAATTTTCTGTTGGATTTGTTTTCTTACTTTTTAGATGAAAACTTACATTTGAATTAATTCTCACTTTAATATGAAAATCGTTACACGTCATCCCATACGACATGGCAACCAACTAAGAAAAGATAAAGTAAGAGGGCACTCAAGGTCCCACTCCACTCCACCCCACTCCTCCACATCTCTTCAAGGTGGTTGTGCAATTATGCAAGGTGGTTGGCACCTCATCGGAAAATGGTTGGCCATTTCCTAGTGCAATATGATTCCTCTAAAGTGGCTCTTCAAAGGTAACAATTCTTAGGCCAAATCAATACTTCTAAAGTAAGATGCTTCCTCCTTCTATATTGAATTTTCGAGGTGGTTGGCATCTCCTATAAGTGTCATATTTTATGAATACTGCCTTGGGCAAAAGATACTCTGTATAAAGATGCTCTGTATTGATAGATTTGGCAAGATGTAGCAAATACGTCAAATCAACTTTTCAGTATTTTTATATTGTTTTTATGACATATGGTGACTGATTATCAAATTGTATCATGCGGCTATAGCCATATGATAGCTTATATTGACCTTTCAACCACACATTTCTGCTATAACATAATTTTACAGGTAAATTGAAAATTTTTCCTTCTTTTTTAATACACGTTTTTCAATAAAATCAATATTGCATATATTTTCTTAACAAAATGGGGCTCAAACAGGGGTATAATTTCACGTCCTTTGAATTTATAAGGATTTGATCCCTTTGAATTTCAACTTAAAACTTGAATGGAAAGAATATAAATTTTCTGGTACCATCAAATGAAGAAGGGTACCTGCTCTATTTTATGACGATTCTAAACTTCTGAATTATAGATACTGGAAACTTGATAATGGTACAATCAATCTATCTCTAATGTCATGTCAAGATCAAGATCATGCAAAAGCATTGGATGTTGCACATACAACTAATCTTTCGTAATCTTCATAAATAAAATTTGAAATTTTTCCTTGTTTTAGTGAGAAATAAAGATGCATTGGTCCCTTAAAATTCTGGTTTGTGTACTTAAGTTCAAATTTCTACATTTACTTAGCCCACGATTGATCCCCATTTTTTACAAAATATATTTTTCCGTCTCTTCTTTTCAACTACATATTACACTCAAACCCAAAATATCATCCATTTTCCATCAATCTACTATTAAAAATATATTCTTAGCATTTTAATGGGGCTCAAATAAGCTCTTAGTCAAAATTCATGACTTTTCATATCCAGATTGCTTAAAATGTGTATTTGCTGGTTGGGGGACGAGAAACATCGACACCATTGTAAGGAGTTTGTTAAATTTCACATAAGTCCTATGACAATTGGGATCAACGCCCATATAAACAGAGGGTCCCATGAAACAACTACCTTTTTTTTCCTCCTCTCTCTAACTAACAAGAAATTAACCTCCTTCTATTATTAATAAATTTCTTGAGTGGCTTGGATGAGATAATATGGTTTCTCTTTCTTGTGTTAGCAATATTTCGATACAATAGTCATATTGATACATGAGCACAAACAATACATTGTAGCTGTGACTCGGTCCCATTATCGAAAATTATCTAATGAGTGTCTGCAAATTTCTTGATGTCATGAACAAAGTTTGCTAGATTAGCCATGGATTTAGACCTACCCTCATTTCCAAATAACTTCTCATTTAGTCTCAAGATTCTTTGGTTCATTTCATTGTCTTCCATCAACCTTCTAAACCCTTCTTCTAATTCCCTTCTTCCAAACCCTTTAATCTTTACTCCGATTTGCCAGGCATCAACAATGTAGGCACAATTCACAAACTGATCTCCAGCTACTGGATAGCACAAAAGAGGTTTCTTGCATTGTATAGCCTCCATTATGGAATTCCATCCACAGTGTGTAAGATAACACCCCACAGCTTCGTGTCGCAGCACCTCGGTTTGAGGTGCCCATGAAACGATTCTTCCTCGTCCCGCCACTTTCTCAGCATACCCCGATGGTAACCCTTGGCGCCACGAGGAACCTAGAACCCAAAGGAATTGGCTCCGGGATGCCTCGAGGGCCATTGCTAAGTTATTAATCTTTAGTTTTTCGAGCGGGCTAACCCAACTTCCAAATGAGATGTACACGACGGAACCATAATTCTGAGTGTTTAACCATTCTAAGCAATCCTTATCTTCTTGCCAGAAACTGAGACTAATCTTTCTTGTTGTCGAGTGGATATTAAGAGGTCCAATTTGGATATGTTGTTGAACACCTGTCGATATAAACTGTTTTTCTTGGCATTCATCAGGAAACGTATTCATTAGGAGCCACTTGAGGTTAATTGATCTATCCAATGTTCTTGACCAGAATTTGAATCTTGATATTCTTGCTGCTGAAGAACCAATTAGCCATGGCAGATCGTCTGTAGTCAGTGTAGGTAGGCCCGGATACAAGCATATTGGACTTTCATGGAGTGGGCACCCTGCAGATAAATTTATATAAATTTTGTTTGACTACAACATAACAACTATTGAGTTAAAAAAAGAATAATACTACTTGAAATCGCTCACTAACGCAATCGCCCTACGTGTCATACATGTGGCGGTTAGGGGTCTGATGCATGAGCCACTAAAAAAAAAATTATAAAATTCATTGAATGTTAACAAACACCGGCTACTGGGATTTTTAACTCCTGGCTTAGTAAGTGGTAAAATCTAAGCTTTATAAATTAAACTCAGTTATGTGGTAATAGAATATTCTTTCAAATTGATAATCTCATTGGAAAAGTATCCTAAATGGATATTCTCAAATGTCCAAATGAGATTGTGATGAAGGGTAATTATATTCACAATACAAATTTTATTTCTTACACCACATTTTAATTGTACTTGAAGTTTTAATCTTTGTTCATTATAATATTATATCCTTAACAATTTTTTATGTCATTCTTATCTTCAAACTTTTCTTTAGTTAAAACATTGTCTTTTATAACAATTTCATGTCCAAAAATTCTTTGAAATAGCATAAAATAACTTATTTTTTCATCATATTTTTAATAAATAAATAAAGAAAAAGTGCGAAATTTTTTTTCTCATTTCAAAGCATGAAATTAAATATTTCATTATAAATCATCATCATCATCAACAACAACAACAACAACAAAAGCAAGAAGAAGAAGAAGAAGAAGAAGAAGAAGAAGAAGAATAAACCAGACCTATTAATTAATAGAAAGTTGAATATAAGAATTCAATGAAAAAAAAAATAACAAAATAATTGAAATAATGAGTAAAGATTGAGGAGTTTAATTGTGTTAATAGATTTACACAAAATTCATAAGAATTTAATAAAAAATTGTGAAATTTCAAAAAGAGTTTGTTATATGTATTTTTTTTTTAAACTTGAAATCCATTCAAATATTTTTTTAAAAATCTCTATTAATGAAATCCATGAGTTATTGAGGTAATTAGATTTTCAAAGATTTTATTGAAATTCATTACAATTTCAGTTGGTAGATTTTAATGAATATTATTAATTTGGACATTTAAATTTAGAAAGGTTTTAAAAATCCATAAAAAACTCAGTTGGGAACATTGCCGTTAAAAAAAAAAAAAAAAAAAAAAAAAAAGGCAAGCTTAAAATAGCAAATAGCTGACCGTTTTCAGAAATGATGCCAGTCCGGACCATAGCAGGAATTGCAGCAATCAATCGATAAGTAGTATGCATGGCTGGCCAAAATCCAGCAACTTGTACTCCATACTTATTAGCAACATTAATCGCCCAAGATGCCAATAAATCAACGATGAAACACTACAAGCTTAAAATAGCAAATAGCTGACCGTTTTCAGAAATGATGCCAGTCCGGACCATAGCAGGAATTGCAGCAATCAATCGATAAGTAGTATGCATGGCTGGCCAAAATCCAGCAACTTGTACTCCATACTTATTAGCAACATTAATCGCCCAAGATGCCAATAAATCAACGATGAAACACAAAATTCCACCATCTCCGTCCTCGTTGAGCTCCCGAATAACGACGTCTAAACGCGATGGCATATAATCCTCCATAGCCTTTTCAATCGAAAAGAAATCCCGAGGCATTTCTACCGGTAAGCCATCCGAAATTGACATGCACGAAATCCCGTCTCTTGCATTGATTTGAGCGGAAATACGATCGTGAATGAATTCATGTACAATCAACACTGGTTTGAGGCCAAAAGTTGGGAGGATTGAAGCTAGTTTAAGCATGGGAGTAACATGTCCCTGTGCTGGAAATGGAATTAGGATTACCTTCTTCTTCATCAACTTCATGCAAATGTTTTTAATCCTCTAGTCCTATGTATCGATTTCTGTTCAAAAACCTCGTCCGAGAACTTTAAGATATATAGATTCTTCTAGCACATGAATTGCTACAACTGGTTTACAGATAAAATTAAAATAAAGAGGATAAACTAAGGTGCAATGCCACATATTATATAGATAGAAAAAGAGATAAGAGTAAACAATTGTTATTATTATTATTATTTATTCAAGTTGCTGTGGAGAACCCACTTTGAGGACATTTTAATTAGGAAATAAAAAGAGGATAAACAAACGTGATGTTATTTAACTTCAAAAAATTGTTACTTCTAGATGTTGTATGTGAAAGTGGAATGGTGGTTGAGCCGCAATTGTAAAGTTTGTGTTCGTATTGGTGGTTGGAGACACGAATGTCCACACTTAGGTCGACACCTTCTTAACACCTTCACATCATTTACCCTCCAACATTATTATAATTCATTTACTTGCATTGCGATAGCTACAAAAGCACTAGAATTTTCAGTAAGTGTCATACATTGAGACACAAGATTTGCTAATATGAATGCTAATAATTAAACAATAAATATAGTGAATGGAATCTATTATGTTGACCCAAAACACGCAGTTGAAATGGTTTATTGTTGTACAATCTTAAACAGCTAGCATATAGGACCTTTATTGTAAGGATATTGGAGGTAAGATTGTACAAGAATTAGTTCTCTCTTTTTCTTTTTTTTTCCTCTATTTTATAACACGTTATCAACATAATTTCTCTTGAAACTATTGATGATGAGTTGTCAAGACACCTGCTTAATTGATAGTATAATTATACATATTGTTGACCACAAAAATGTTGCCAACAGATATTGGATCCACCCGCGCACACGTGAGCCTGGTCCAACATGTTAAGACACATGGACGGTCTATAAATAATAGCAAAATGGGGCATGAGAGTGACTCAAAGGTGCGGGACGAGAACTTTCGGAATCCGGCTAGATGTTTGCATAACAATTGTATAATAATTACCAATCGATGTTTATAGAATGCGAGTATGAATTCATGTTTGTTGCAAGAGAGTAAAATGTAAGGAATGTTGTATTTGTTTTCGTGTTGAATCTTGCATTACCCTTATAAAAGATACATGGGCAGTATTTATAGTGTTACAACTTAGATCGTGGTCTTTGGTTAGTAGTACACATGGCCTCATCTCGTCAGTTTGCATGTCAAATTATAGGCATTACATTTGACTTCCTAACTTGCTACACATTTATTAATTAGCGGTCATGCCACTATATTGACAAGACAAGACACTTGCACTCTATAATGGGTGGCCCATCAATCAATCAAGAGGGATCATTGTGTAAGATCGGATCTCTGGGGAGGAGTGCTGCTTAGAGCCTCAGGACCTCGAAGAAGATTAGGCCTCAAAAGGAAGGGCCTCAGCTACAAGGTCACTTCGGCATATTAGTTTCGGCTCAGCACTTGGGCCATGTCTGGCATGGGGACTTGGATAAGATGTCACGTGGGCAGGAAGATGTGTGCCATGGGCCCAGTGGGTCGGCCAAGTGTCAGTACGTAACAATTGTCCTCCAAGTCCAAGTATGGTCATTTATGTAATGCGTGGAATTTTATTGTGGCGAATCGCGTGGGGTAGAAAATTGAGAGAATTTTTTGTACCTCAACTAATAATCCCCAAGTCCAAGTATAGATATTTATATCATGGTTGGAGTTGAAAGTGGTGGTGGTGCTGTGATTGGGAAAGGTGATGAAGAAGTCTCGAACCTGTTGAAACTTGCAAAGATGTGGCTGAACTGCCAAGCAGATGAAGAAGCCGAGGCGGCGATGATGCGAACCCCGTAGCAACATTGACTACGAAATCCACAAAGAGATTGACGAACCCAAGAAAGCTAAATTAATCCAAAGTTTAGGATTAACCCAAAAGAAAGTCGAACCAAAAAACCCAACAAGAACGACGCTTGAAAAACCCCTTGATCACGCAATCCAAGAATTAAATTTGGTTGTTTGAATGCCACAAGTTAACACTTGATAAGTTTGAAGTTGTTCAATGAAGAACGATGAAGAGAAGACAATACGCCTCACTTTAATTCAATATTAAGAATGTCAAAAGGTTTTTTTACAATTGAATGGAAACTCCTATTTATACTAAACCTAAAAACTAGGTAAAAATCGTGCAAAAGTCGAGCATAATCTCCAAAATATGGAAAAGAATCAAAATCTAACAAAATATGGAAAATTGCCAAAATTGAAAAATTCGCCAAATTTTTTGGCCTGTCCAGCTGCATGGTGTATTTCCATGCTGTCGCATGGTTCAACAAAAATCTCAATTTAAATTTCAGTATGCTACTATGCGGCCGCATGGTGTTTTTGCTGTGCGGTCGCATAGGCTTATTTTCAGCCTCCGGTTTCGTCGCTTGATAACAAATTGATCCAAGTTGATTCGGCCTTCGACCCGAACATGAAAGTTGCTCCATTTTGAGTCCCGAACATGGTTCCATCAATGGTTTCTTGAACAAGCAATCCCATCACTTGTTTCACTTGCTTTGCCCTTGATCGTGTCATTGGTCCGCCATCAACTATCAACGGGTCTCGTCTCGCACTTGCCTTCGTCGGGCTCGACTCTTGGATCATATCATCCCCTCCCTCTTCAAAAGAATTCGTCCTCGAATCTGAACCTGTATCAAACAGAGAGAGATTAGATACATTAAAAGTAGCCGAAACATTGTACTCACCTGGAAGGTCCAACTTGTAAGCGTTGTCGTTTATCTTTTCGATCACTTGGAATGAACCATCGCCTCTTGGTTGCAACTTGGACTTCCTTTGCTCCGGAAACCGCTCTTTTCTAAGGTGCACCCAAAGCCAATCTCCTGGCTCGAATGTCACATGCTTTCTACTTTTGATCGCCTACGACGCAACCAACTTACTTTTGTTTTCAATTTGCGCTTTTACCTTTCCATGAAGTGACTTAATCAATTCCGCCTTCTTTTTGCCATCTAAACTACCACGTTCATTTACAGGTAAAGGAATTAAATCCAAAGGAGTTAGTGGATTAAAACCATATACAATTTCAAATGGAGAATATGACGTAGTAGAGTGAACAGCTCGATTGTATGCAAATTCAACAAATGGTAGACACTCCTCCCAACTCTTCAAATTTTTATTGATTACTGTGCGTAACAATTGTGTCATAGTCATATTCACTACCTCGATTTGCCCATCCGTTTGTAGGTGACAAATTGTGGAAAATAGTAACTTAGTGCCTAACTTACCCCACAAAACTCTCCAAAAGTAACTCAAAAATTTGACATCCCGATCCGACACTATGCTTCTAGGAACCCCATGTAAACGCACAATCTCTTCAAAGAATAAGTAAGCAATGTTCGTGGCATCGTCAGTTTTGTGACATGGTATAAAATGTGCCATTTTGCTGAACCTATCTACAACCACAAAAATAGAATCCCGACCTCTCTTAGTCCTAGGTAAACCCAAAATAAAGTCCATCGAGATATCAACCCAAGGCTCACTAGGTATAGGTAAAGGTGTGTACAAACCTTGTGGTAAAACCTTAGATTTAGCATTTTTACAACCTATGGATCGACTACAAATTTGCTCTCAACATCACTTTTCATCTTAGGCCAATAAAAATACTCCTTCAATACATCTAAAGTCTTTTGAACCCCAAAGTGTCCCATCATTCCACCACTATGTGCCTCCCTTACTAACAACTCCCGAATAGAACAATTAGGAACACATAACATATTTTCCCGAAATAAATACCTCTCATGCTTAAAGAACCTATCAACCGCCCCTTTTATGCATGACAAATAAATATCCAAAAATTTAACATCTTTTTCATACAATTCCTTAATATGTTCAAACCCAAGTAACTTAGAATCAAGAGTAGTTAGCAATACGTACCTTCACAACAACGCATCCACCACCACATTTTCCTTACCTTGTTTATACCGAATGACGTATGGAAAAGTCTCAATGAATTCCATCCACCGTGTATGCCTCTTGTTCAATTTACCTTGTCTCCGTAAGTGCTTTAATAACTCATGATCGGTGTGTATTACGAACTCCTTCGACCATAGATAATGTTGCCAAGTCTCCAAAGCTTGAACAAGTGCATAAAGTTCTTTGTCATATGTAGGATAATTTAAAGCAGCTCCACTCAATTTCTCGCTAAAGTATGCAATAGGCCTCCGATCTCGCATTAAAACTGCTCCAATCCCTATTCCTGATGCATCACACTCAATCTCGAATGTTTTATCAAAGTTAGGTAATGCCAAAATAGGTGCTTCACACAATCTACCTTTAATAGTATTAAATGCAAGTTCCTGTTCATCACCTCAATGAAAATCTACACTCTTTTTAACTACTTCCGTGAGTGGTACACTGATAGTGCTAAAATCCTTCACAAATCGCCTATAAAAACTAGCCAAACCATGAAAAATCCTAACTTCCGTTATGCTTTTAGGTGTCGGCCAATCTCTAATAGCTTTTATCTTTTCATCGTCTACTTCTACTCCATTAGCACTAACCACAAAACCAAGAAAAATAACTCTATCCATACAAAACATGCATTTCTTAAGATTAGCATAGAGTTGTTCTTTCCTTAAAACAATTAGGACACATTTTAAATGTTCCGAATGCTCTCCTAGATTTTTGCTATAGATTAATATGTCGTCAAAATAAACCACAACAAATTTTCCTATAAAAGCACGTAAAACATGATTCATTAAACGCATAAAAGTGCTAGGTGCATTTGTGAGTCCAAACGGCATAACCAACTATTCATATAAACCATATTTAGTTTTAAAAGCCGTTTTCCATTCATCACCCTCCCACATACGAATTTGATGATACCCACTTTTTAAATCAATTTTAGAAAATATGCAAGCATCATGTAATTCATCAAGCATGTCATCTAACCTAGGTATAGGGTGACGATACTTTACCGTTATATTATTGATAGCCCTACAATCCACGCACATTCGCCATGTTCCATCCTTTTTTGGTACAAGCAAAATCGGTACCGCACAAGGACTCATGCTTTCCCTCACGTATCCTTTGCTCATCAACTCCTCCATTTGCCTTTGA